GTATATTTGAACAGGATTTACAAAGGTTTTATTCCTTCCTCTGGAATAAGTGCAGGATTTGGATCTGGGGAACCTTGATGGAAATGTGTCCTTTTTTTTGACCTATGTAACTACAACCCCTGGGACAAAGTATGGAATCACCACTCTTGGAAAATGTTTGTTTAATTGTGTAGGAAAAAAAAAATATTCAAAGACAGACCTCAAAACTATTTTCATTTAACATTCCAACCTTCTGGCTTTGAGAAACACTTACAAAAACAAAAAAGAAAGAACATTGTAGTCAGTTGCAACTGTTTTTGTAGATCAAGCAGAGGAAAAAAATGTGGAATCACTCAATTTTGAGGAAAATATTATGGAATCACCATGTACTTTGCAGTTCCAAAACAAACATCTGCATCAGATTACATCTGCTAATTAGTATGCAGTTAACAAAAGAGTGCTTGCACACATGGGGGAGCTGTTGCACCAAGCTGATTGACATGAATCATGGCTCCAACATGAGAGATGTCAGTTGACACACAGGAGAGGATTATAAAAAATCATCACAGAATGTTGCAAAAGATGTTGGTTGTTCCCAGTCAGCTGTATCTAAAATCTGGATCAAATACAAATCAAATGGGAAGGTTGTAAAAGGGGAGCATACTGGTAGACCAAGGAAGACATCAAAGTGTCAAGATAGAAAACTTAAAGCAATATGCCTTGAAAACAGAAAATGCACAACAAAACATGAGGAACAAATGGGCAGAAATTGGAGTCAATGTCTGTGACTGAACTGTAAGACATCTCCTAAAGGAAATATAATTTACATACAGGAAAAGCCAAACGGAAAACCATCATTAACACCTAAACAGAAAAAAAACAAGGTTACAGTGGGCTAAAGAAAAGCAATCATGGACTGTGGATGACTGGATGAAAGCGATATTCAGTGATGAATCATGGATCTACATTGGGCAGGGTGATGATGCTGGAACGTTTGTTTGGAGCAGTTCCAATGAAATGTATAAAGACGACTGCCTGAAGAAAACGTGAAAAGTTCCACAAAATAAATTGATGATATGGGGTTGCATGTCAGGTAAATGTACGGGGGAGATGACAATAATTAAATCTTCAATAAATGCGCAAGTTTATATTGAGATTTTGGACAATTTTCCTATTCCATCAATTGAATTAATGTTTGGTGATGATCACATCATTTTTCAGGATGATAATGCATCTTGCCATAGGGCAACAGCTGCAAAAACTTTCCTTCAAGAAAGCTATACAATGCCAATGGCATGACCTGCAGATAGTCCGGACCTCAACCCAACTGAAAATCTATGGCGGAAATGAAAGAAAATGACCCATGACAAGGCTCCAACCTGCAAAGCTGATCTGGAAACTGCAATAAGAGAAAGTTGGAGCCGATTGATGAAGAATACTGTTTGTTGATAGTTAAATCCATGCCTCAGAGAATTCAAACTGTTATAAAAGACAGAGGTGGTGCCACAAAGTATTATTGGTGTACCAGAGGGTTTTTTCTTGACTCCATAATATTTTCATCAGAATTGAGTGATTCCATATTATTTTCCTCTGCTTGATCTACAGTTGCAACTGACTACAGTTTTCTTTCTTTTTCTTTTATTTTTGTAAGTGTTTCTTAAAGCCAGAAGGTTGGAATGTTAAATGAAAATAGTTTTGAGGCATGTCTGTAATTATTTTTTTTTCTACACAATTAAACAATTGAATGAATATTTTCCAAGAGTGGTGATTCCATACTTTTTGCCAGGGGTTGTATGTTAGATATGTAACCTGCTAATACTTGTAGTGCTGTTCTAAGCAGAGAAGAAGAATGTATATAGTCTCGCTGGTCCTCAGGAATGTGGTGCTGGCTAAAAATATCACCGTCCAGTAGTATGTAGCATACTCAAGGGTTTAGTGGCAATTTGTCTAGATATATAAGGGGTATAATATAAGCTCTGTTTATTTGCAATTTGGGCTGCAATCAGAGTTGACTGGTCCATCTAGGAGTGGGATGTTATGAGAAAGAACATACAATGTAGATGATTCACTTCTTTGCTCATGCTTCAGCCCTTGTGAGATTCAGATTAGACTTTCCAGCTTGTAGACCATGTCATTTGCTCCACATCTGGCCTTGTATGGCCATGACAAATGCATGATAAAATAAACAAATTCAATATATGATAAATGACTACTTAAGGTCACAGAAACTAACAACCATAAGCTTCAGAAAAGGATGACCTGAAAGAGCTGCTGAATTGTGTAGGGTAGATTTGGTGTCTTTTTCAACATAAATGTCTTGCACTTCCAAGTAAGCACTGCAAAGCTTCAACTTCCGAGCTGTAAACATGCTGATCTAAATGTGAGAATTTAGCAGGAAAAATCAGCTGGTCACAGCTTCTTCCCTGAAGCAATGACAGCTTGTCAGATTGAAAAATCTTTGCACACATGATATGAACACATGATATGAACTCCACCGGTGTTTGTCTGTTGTTTCCATGAAAAGACTAAACAGTGACACACAGGGGAAAAAAACAAACCTTGGTCAGGCAACCCATAGACCAAGAGCCTTACACCATTCTATCAAATGATTGTCATACTCATCAGACACCATTCTATATTAACACATATACCACCAAAAATCATCTACATATTAAATGTGATGGCACAAATGGGTTGTTTATAAAGTATAAGAGAATTGTGAAGGTTTGTTCTGTTAATGTTTTTTGACAGACATCATAGAAGATTCAGAGGCTAGAGGCCAAAGACCTTCACAGTTGGGAAGATCAAGAACCACAATTGTTTGCAGTGTTCAACCATCTTCTACCTTGTGCTATATTTGGCTAATGTTTTCTGTATATAAAACTGATAGTTATTGTTGGTGATTGTGTTTGGATAACATTTGTGTAACTATAGGTTCCCATAAACTCTTTTTCAAGGTAGTTAAAGCAACTCTTTTTGCTGAAATTAAAGTGGCGGTCAAAGGTCTTTGTGTAAAGAAAAAACAAAATACTTACCTCTACCCAGGGGCGGACTGACAACTCATGGGGCCCCCGAGCAACAGGGGATCATGGGGCCCCTGTGTCCTTGCCCAAACGCAAAAAAGCCTATGAAAAAGGTACCAGGGGCATCTCATGGGGCCCCCTACTGACCCCGGGCCCTTGGGCAGTGCCCGAGTTTCCAAATGGTCAGTCCGCCCCTGCCTCTACCACTGCCCTGAACACCACTCTAAAATAAGGAAATTGATGCCGCAGACTCATTTAAAGCACAACTAAAAGCTTCTGTCCTTTACAGCTGAAGACAGTGCCATCTTAACATCTACTTATAGCTGCAGTTGCCATGACGTATCCCAAGCTATGACACTAACCATTTGAGGGCTTCAAAGTTGTGTAGCGATCTAGTATAAGCCCCCTGGCAACTGTGACAGTTATCACCAGTGGCATGCCATGAATCTGTTTTGGGAAAGAGTGAGTGGCTATATATATTCTTGTTGGTCCATCCAGTAAGACATACATCAATGTTATTCCTTTTTCTATGTCCGCATAGAACTCATGTAATGATATTATACTATATACTTATGCCCCCAGATCTCTTTGGGCTGTATCGCTAAACCGGTGCAAGAACACCAGTGTTTTGGTGGCAATCCGGTGGGCATGACCCCAAACTATCAAAGTGGTATATACCTGTACTCTGGATCTTAATTACTGTATCTTCAATATAGACATACCTCATTGCCGCTGTGACTTATTGAGTGTGTTCCCCCCCTTATTTTCTATGGTATAGGGCAGTGATGGCGAACCCGTGGCACGCGTGCCACAGCCGGCACGCCGAGCCTTATCTGTGGGCACGCCAGGAGAATCCAGCGGCGCGCTGTCTTCCCGGCTGTAGTGTGCGTGACAGCCGGGTCCCAAGTGCGCATGCACAAGAAGCAGTGCTCTTTGTGAATGGTAAGGCGGTACCTGGGACACATGACAGATCCCAGAAGCCGCCGGACCAATCACAAAGCGCAGCGCTTCTTGCGCATGCGCACTGGGCATCCGGCTGTCCGACGAGCGCCCACACTACAGAAGCCGGAAGACAACGCGCGGCTGGATAAAGGAACAGGTAAGATAAAAAAAAAAACTCTGCGGAAGTAAGAGCGGGTACCTGTCAAATTCAGGTACCCGCTCCCCCTCCCTCCCCAAAGGTCAGCAGTCATCCCTGTGCTGTCCGCAGTCTCTGGTCATCCCTGTGCTGTCCGCAGTCTCTGGTCATCCCTGTGCTGTCCGCAGTGTCTGGTCATCCCTGTGCTGTCCGCAGTCTCTGGTCATCCCTGTGCTGTCCGCAGTCTCTGGTCATCCCTGTACTGTGTCCGCAGTCTCTGGTCATCCCTGTGCTGTCCGCAGTCTCTGGTCATCCCTGTACTGTGTCCGCAGTCTCTGGTCATCCCTGTACTGTCCGCAGTCTCTGGTCATCTCCTGTACTGTCCGCAGTCTCTGGTCATCCCTGTACTGTGTCCGCAGTCTCTGGTCATCCCTGTGCTGTCCGCAGTCTCTGGTCATCTCCTGTACTGTGTCCGCAGTCTCTGGTCATCCCTGTACTGTGTCCGCAGTCTCTGGTCATCTCCTGTACTGTGTCCGCAGTCTCTGGTCATCCCTGTACTGTGTCCGCAGTCTCTGGTCATCCCTGTACTGTGTCCGCAGTCTCTGGTCATCCCTGTACTGTGTCCGCAGTCTCTGGTCATCCCTGTACTGTGTCCGCAGTCTCTGGTCATCCCTGTACTGTCCGCAGTCTCTGGTCATCCCTGTACTGTCCGCAGTCACTGGTCATCCCTGTACTATGTCCGCAGTCTCTGGTCATCCCTGTACTGTCCGCAGTCTCTGGTCATCTCCTGTACTGTGTCCGCAGTCTCTGGTCATCTCCTGTACTGTGTCCGCAGTCTCTGGTCATCTCCTGTACTGTCCGCAGTCTCTGGTCATCTCCTGTACTGTCCGCAGTCTCTGGTCATCCCTGTACTGTGTCCGCAGTCTCTGGTCATCCCTGTACTGTGTCCGCAGTCTCTGGTCATCTCCTGTACTGTGTCCGCAGTCTCTGGTCATCCCTGTACTGTGTCTGCAGTCTCTGGTCATCCCTGTACTGTGTCCGCAGTCTCTGGTCATCCCTGTACTGTGTCTGCAGTCTCTGGTCATCTCCTGTACTTTCCGCAGTCTCTGGTCATCCCTGTACTGTCCGCAGTCACTGGTCATCCCTGTACTGTGTCCGCAGTCTCTGGTCATCTCCTGTACTGTGTCTGCAGTCTCTGTCATCCCTGTACTGTCCGCAGTCTCTGGTCATCCCTGTACTGTGTCCGCAGTCTCTGGTCATCCCTGTACTGTCCGCAGTCTCTGGTCATCTCCTGTACTGTCCGCAGTCTCTGGTCATCTTCTGTACTGTTCGCAGTCTCTGGTCATCTCCTGTACTGTGTCCGCAGTCTCTGGTCATCTCCTGTACTGTGTCCGCAGTCTCTGGTCATCTCCTGTACTGTCCGCAGTCTCTGGTCATCCCTGTACTGTGTCTGCAGTCTCTGGTCATCCATGTACTGTGTCCGCAGTCTCTGGTCATCTCCTGTACTGTGTCCGCAGTCTCTGGTCATCCCCTGTACTGTGTCCGCAGTCTCTGGGCATCCCTGTACTGTGTCCGCAGTCTCTGGTCATCCCTGTACTGTGTCCGCAGTCTCTGGTCATCCCTGTACTGTCCGCAGTCTCTGGTCATCCCTGTACTGTCCGCAGTCTCTGGTCATCCCTGTACTGTGTCCGCAGTCTCTGGTCATCCCTGTACTGTGTCCGCAGTCTCTGGTCATCCCTGTACTGTGTCCGCAGTCTCTGGTCATCCCTGTACTGTGTCCACAGTCTCTGGTCATCCCTGTACTGTGTCCACAGTCTCTGGTCATCCCTGTACTGTGTCCGCAGTCTCTGGTCATCCCTGTACTGTTAATTAGTTTGCACTACTGTACGAGTTGTTTTTTCTAAACCAAAAGCTCGATATTCAGGTTTCATTGCAGTGTTGGCACTTTGAAAGAAATAAGTTGGTTTTGGGTTGCAGTTTGGGCACTCGGGCTCAAAAAGGTTCGCCATCACTGGTATAGGGGATATGTGGAGACCAGTGATCTAATGGTTGGGGTCCTGTATGGATTACTCAAAGTTTAATGAAAATCTTTATCTTTTCTTTTCTTGTGTTTAAGATATGCATATCGATCATCTTTGCATACAATATATCGATAGAGGGGATCTCTTGCCTTCCACTCCTTCACCTTAGCTCTGTCCCTATATCCGCCTGCCAGACTTTTCAGTGCCATATATTCAATTGGAGTCAGTATGATTTGAAAGCATGCTCTAGTTCAAGGATATTGAATTAAAATTCATGGAGGTCCGGTCAATAAAACATTCATCCAGCAGAGGTCCGAATCTCATGTTTGTGCTGTGACTCAGGTTCTTCATATCACAGCCCCACCCCCTTACATTACAGTTTCCCCTTTACATCACAGCTGTCTTCGCATCACAGCCCCCAATTTATACCTCAGTATTACATTTAAAATTGCTGAGCCCCCTCTTTACATCACAGCACCTCCCTTTACAATACAGCCCTTTCTTTACATTACAGTGCCTGCTTTACATCACAGCCCCCCTTTGCATTCAAATCTCCCCATATTACATCACAGTGCCTCCTTTACTTAATTGTCCTTTGTCTCCTGTTCACATCTCAATCCCCCCCCTTCCACCTTTACATCAGTATCCTCAGCCCCCACCTCATAGCATAGCCCCCCTCCCCTTCACATCAATGTCTTCTGTCACCCCTTTATATCACGGTCCCCTTACCTAAATCACAGCCCCCCTTCCTTGAACCCCAGTCCCATTTACAGCCCCCCCCTTACTTGCATCTCAGTCCCCTGCACAGTCCCCCTTTCCTTGTATCCTAGTCCGCTTCACAGCCCCCCTTCCTTTCACCCCAGTCCTCTTTACAACCTAACTTGCATCTTAGTCCCCTTCACTGCCTCCCCTTACTTGTACCCATGTCCCTTTCACAGCCCCCTTTCTTGCACCCCAGTCCCTTTACAGTCCCCCCTTACTTACATCTCAGCCCCCATCACAGCCCCCCCCCTTCCTTGCACTCCAGTTTTCACAACCCCCCTTCCTTTCTCCCCAGTCCACTTCACAGCCCCACTTCCTTGCACCACAGTCCCCTTCACAGCCCCCCCCTTACTTACATCTCAGTCCCCTTCACAGCCCCCACTCCTCGCACCAAAGTCCTCTTCACAGACCCCCTTTTTTGCATCCCAGTCCCATTTACAGCCCTTTCTTACTTACAACTCAATCCCCTTTACAGTTCCTCCCTTCCTTACACCCCAGTCCCCTTTACAACCCCTCCTTCCTTTTACTCCAGTCCACTTCACAGCCCCCCTTTCTTGCACCCAGTACAATTTACAGACCCCCCTTACTTGCATCTCTGTTCTTTCTTGCACCCCCAGTCCCCTTTAAAACCCTTCTTTTTGTATACTGTTCCCCTTTCACAGCCCCCACCTTCCTTCCTTGCAGACAAGCCCCCTTTATATGAATGCCCCCTCCCTTATATTCCCCCCGCTATTCACAACCCTCCTTTTTTATCCTACTTTTCACTGTAAAAGCACCTCTATGTTAGCCTAAATGCACACATAGGCATTTACAGGCTGAAAAAATAAACCCATCAAAAACATTCAGCAAAGGAGCTTAAGAGCAAAAAAATCACTTATCAAACCTAAAACCCTTTTCAAATGGGGGGACTCTTCCAATGGATCCCCCTGCTGTCCATTGGTCCTTGCTCAACAGAAGGATGATAGGTCCATATCCACTCCGCTTATGCAGAGCAGCATGGACACAGCCTGCTTTCCTCTATGAGCGGTCGGATGTAAATGGACCGCCTATCTGTTTACATCAACTGTCATCCAACCATCAACTGTCATCCAACCCACCAGACGGATGGGGAATGGATCCCTATCTGTCAGTTTTTTTCAGATCAGATGCAAGCGGGTGTAAACACACGTGTTTACATTCGCTCGACAGAGGGCAATAAATGGTTTGATCGGATCTGCCCGAAATTGACATTTTAACCTGTGCGTGTCACCTTGTGTGTCTGTACCAAGGCCAAACATTCCGGGGTATGTAAACTTTTGATCAGGATCATTTGGGTGATTTCTGTTATCATTATGATTTAAAACGGAGCCAAACAATTATGTGATAACAAATGTCTTCATATGATCACTATCTATAAATAAAAGATGTCTTATAAAAGATCAGTAATATTTTCAATATCAATGGCAAAATTTCATCATTTCTGCTAGCTTTTGAGCACAACTGTATACTGGAATTTTTCTCTTTGTTCTACTAATGGTGGTGATTAGCAACTTATAATAGGACTGGGTTAGTGCGGTGGGCAATATGACATTAACTGACTGAGGGGAACTGACTAACTGCCATTGACATTAATATAGTGATCAGTGATAATACTATTCACTGTCTCTGTACTAAAGACACTGGCTGGAATGGGGTTAACATCTAGGGAAGTGGTCACCAAACTGTGGCCCGCCAGCTGAATGCGGCCCTTTGCTTGCTTTTATCCAGCCCTTAGAGGGACTATTCTTTACACCGATAAGATGCACTAATTCTGCCACTGACACCAACAAATTGGCACCATTCCTTCCATTGACACCAACAATGGAACATAATTCCTACCACTAACACCAAGAGTGGTGCATAATTCTCCTAGTGATATCAATGATGAGGGACCATTCCTTTCACTCTTCCACTGATACCAACAATGGGGCATTAATCCTTCCATTAATACCAATGATAGGGCACTATTCCTCCTCCTACTGACTAAAGATGCTATGTAATTGTTTACTCCCACTTACCACCAAGCCTGAGGCACTGCTTACTTCCACTGATGCTGAAGCATTTCCCACTAGCCACATACTGGCCCCCCAAAGCGTTTAAGAAAAGTAAACTTGAAATTTGTTTGGAAAGTTTGAAGACCCCTGATCTAGGGGGATCAAGGTGTTAAATGTGTGCTTAATATGTGTAAAGTGTGTTGTTTTTTTACTAATAGATCTCTTAGTTTCTCATCCCTGCTTTGCAGGGATGAGAAACAGAGAGATCGTTCCCACTGTGCAGAGCTCTGTGTTGATTGTCACCACAGAGCTCTGGTCTGCTATTGTACACAGCCTGTCAACAGGTCCCAGCCATGAATCATTGGCTGGGACTTGCTGACAGGCCTGCTGTGTACAATCACAGTGGAAGTAGGCGAGGGGGGCTGTTAGGAATGGACTGGCCAGCAATGTGGGACTCACCTGCCTTTTGATCTGCAGTACCAGGGCTGGCCAGCGGGTGTTCCCAGCAATCAGAGACTCAACTTTGCAGCCAGCTAACACCTGTAACTGATGATGCTGGGGTATTAAGGGATGGCCAGACCCACAGACTCTGCCTTGGTGTTGTGTTTGTCCTGGGCCCTGTATCTGTCCTGCATCCTGCATCCTGTTTCTGTTCCTTTGCTGACTTCTCCTGCTCTGATCCTGGCTTGTGACCCTGACCATCCCTCTGTCTGACCCTCTGTACTACGCTGCTTGCTACCTGTTCTGATCCCTGGCTTGTGACCCGGACCATCCCTCTGCCTGACCCTCTGTACTATGCTGCTTGCTACCTGCTGAACCTGGCCTGTGACCCCGACCATTCTCTGCTTGCTCCCCCTGTACCTACCTGCCCAATTGATATTGACCCGGCCTGCCTGACGACGCTTGCTTGTATGTACTGTTATCTGTGGGTGGTTGGTTGGTTTGTTTGCACTGTATTATGTTTTAGTATTGCACTGCGTTTATGTTTGTACTGTAGTGTTAATAAATTATATTGTTTATAACATATCTGAGGTCTGCGTTTCCCTGCTTCAGTCACACACCTCTGGTCATACCTGGGAGCCCTGACATTACACCAAGGCCAATTCTGACCAGAAGTGGCTGCACAAGGAAAGCCATCTTGGCTTGTTGATGGGAAGGATGGATCTTGATGAGGTTGAGTATTTATATCTGCTAGTGTTTGATGACAGGGAGTATGCTTATCAAACTCTGAAGGAGTATACCCGGGATGAATTGCTAGAATGTATACGGCTCGCTCATGTTCTAGTAGATCAGGGCACAGTGTTCTCTGAGGTGCAGCCATTGATTGAGGTTTGTGCTGAGTTGGTTTCATCTGTTCCCCCCGAATGCAGGGATGAATTTTTGCCACCATTTAGTGCAGACCAGGTAGAGTCCCTGGTGTGGTTATTAGAGGATGATGTGGGTTACTTTCTGGAGCGTTATTCCACATGTTCACCACAGATACTGGAGAGATTGTATAAACGCAGTACAGTCATTGACCAGACAGGCTTTGTGTAAGCTCAGCTTTGTTCAACCCCTACTGCAGACATGGACAGATTTGTTGCACCCAGCCTCAGTCAGCTTACAAAAACCCAGTCCTGCTTCTAACTCTACTCCTGTATTCCCACCAGCTCCTCCAGTTACAGCCCAGTATACTTGGCTATCTACCGCATGTCAGTACCCTGTTCCCCACTCGCTGCACCTATCCTGCCTTTAACCCTGTAAAAAAAGCCCTCTGTAGCAACTGCTCCCTCTCCTGTTCCATCCCTCCAGTTCTTCTCTGTCTCCAGCTGCTCCATTCGTTTGCAGACCTGCGTTTACTTGCAGTGCTCCAGTAGTTAAAACCAGAAAAAAGCGAAAATTTCTTTCCAACCAATACCATCCTGCCAGTATCCAAACCGGTGAGCCTGCCTTCCGTGGTTCAGACTGATGCCTGTACGCAGCCTGATGCCTCTACTCGGCCTGAAGCCTCTCCTCGGCCTGAAGCCTCTCCTCGGCCTGATGCCTCTACTCGGCCTGATGCCTCTACTCGGCCTGATGCCTCAACTCGGCCTGAAGCCTCTACGCGGCCTGAAGCCTCTACGCGCCTGAAGCCTCTACGCGGCCTGAAGCCTCTACGCGGCCTGAAGCCTCTCCTCAGCCTGAAGCCTCTACTCGGCCTGATGCCTGTACTCGGCCTGATGCCTGTACTCGGCCTGATGCCTCTCTTCAGCCTGAAGCCTCTACTCGGCTGATGCCTCTACTCGGCCTGATGCCTCTACTCGGCCTGAAGCCTCTACTCGGCCTAATGCCTCTACCCAGCATGATGAACTGATCCAGCCTGACGATCCTATTAGGCCAGTTGACTCGATGCCCGCTGTTGATCCAGATGATCCGGTACCTGATCCGGTGCCCGCTGTCGTGCCAATTGACTCAGAGCCGCTGTCGTACCTGGTGACTCGGTGCCCACTGCCTTGCCAGATGACGCGGTGCCCGCTGGCAAGCCAAATGACCTGATGCCTGGTGACCTAGTGTCCGCTGTCATACCTGATGACCCGATGCCCGCTGTCGAGCCAGACAATCCGGTACCTGATGACCCGGTGCCCACTGTCGTGCCAGTTGACTCGGAGCCCACTGCCTTGCCAGATGACGCGGTGCTCGCTGTCGAGCCAAATGACTTGATGCCTGGTGACCCGATGCCCGCTGTCCAGTCAGACGATCCAATGTCTGACCCAGTGCCCGCGGTCATACCAGTTGACTCGGAGCCCACTGCCTTGCCAGATGACGCGGTGCCCGCGGTCGAGCCAAATGACCTGATGCCTGGTGACCGATGCCCGCTGTCCGGTCAGACGATCCAATGTCTGACCCAGTGCCCGCGGTCATACCTGTTGACTCGGAGCCCACTGCCTTGCCAGATGACGCGGTGCCCGCTGTCGAACCAAATGACCTGATGCCTGGTGACCCGATGCCCGCTGTCCAGCCAGACCATCCAATGTCTGACCCAGTGCCTGCGGTCATACCAGTTGACTCGGAGCCCACTGTCGTGCCTGGTGACTCGGTGCCCGCCGCTCCGCCTGGGGGCCCGAGACCTGTTGCTCCGCTTGGGGGTCCAGCGCCCGCCGCTCCGCCTGGGGATCTGGCGCCCGCCGCCCCGCCTGGGGGCCTGAGACCTGTCGCTCCGCCTGAGGGCCGAGACCTGTCGCTCCGCCTGGGGGTCCGGCACCTGCCACTCCGCTTGAGGGCCCGAGACCTGTCGCTCCTCCTGGGGGTCCGGCGCCCGCCGCTCCGCGCTGAGGGCCCGAGACCTGTCGCTCCACCTGGGGGTCCGGCGCCCGCCGCTCCGCCTGAGGGCCCGAGACCTGTCGCTCCACCTGGGGGTCCGGCGCCCGCCGCTCCGCCTGAGGGCCCGAGACCTGTCGCTCCTCCTGGGGGTCCGGCGCCCGCCGCTCCGCCTGAGGGCCCGAGACCTGTCGCTCCGCCTGGGGGTCCGGCGCCCGCCGCTCCGCCTGAGGGCCCGAGGCCTGTCGCTCCGCCTGGGGGTCCGAGACCTGTCGCTCCGCCTGGGGGTCCGGCGCCCGCCGCTCCGCCTTAGGGCCCGAGACCTGTCGCTCCATCTGGAGGTCCGGCGCCCGCCGCCGCGCCCCGCCTGGGGGCACGATGCCTGTCGCCCCGCCTGGGGGCCCGATGCCTGTCGCCCCTCCTGGGGGCCCGATGCCTGTCGCCCCGCCTGGGGGCACGGTGCCTGTCGCCCCGCCTGGGGGCACGGTGCCTGTCGCCCCGCCCGGGGGCACGGTGCCTGGCGCCCCGCCCGGGGGCACGGTGCCCCGCCCGGGGGCCCGGTGCCTGCTGCTCCGCCCGGGGGCCCGGTGCCTGCTGCCGCGCCCGGGGGCCCGGTGCCTGCTGCCGCGCCCCGGGGGCCCGGTGCCTGCTGCCGCGCCCGGGGGCCCGGTGCCTGCTGCCCCGCCCGGGGGCCCGGTGCCTGCTGCCCCGCCCGGGGGCCGGTGCCTGCTGCCCCGCCCGGGGGCCCGGTGCCTGTAGCCCCGCCTGGTGGCCCGCTGCCTGCTGCTTCGCCTGGTAATCCGATGTGCCTCTGCCCGGAGTCCTGCCCGATGTGCCTCTGCCCGGAGTCCTGCCCGATGTGCCTCTGCCCGGAGTCCTGCCCGATGTGCCTCTGCCCGGAGTCCTGCCCGATGTGCCTCTGCCCGGAGTCCTGCCCGGTGTGCCTCTGCCCGGAGTCCTGCCCGATGTGCCTCTGCCCGATGTGCCTCTGCCCGAAGTCCTGCCCGATGTGCCTCTGCCCGGTGTGCCTCTGCTCGATGTGCCTCTGCCCGGAGTCCAGCCCGGTGTGCCGCTGCCCGGAGTCCTGCCCGGTGTGCCAGTCTTTGATATCCCGCCAGTTGCCAGACCCGGGCGGTGGAACATTTTGCCCAGCTAGGACTGTTTGGAGCGTCCTGAGGCCGCTCCTTGAGGGGGGGGTACTGTTAGGAATGGACTGGCCAGCAATGGTGGGACTCACCTGCCTTTTGATCTGCAGTACCAGGGCTGGCCAGCGGGTGTTCCCAGCAATCAGAGACTCAACTTTGCAGCCAGCTAACACCTGTAACTGATGATGCTGGGGTATTTAAGGGATGGCCAGACCCACAGACTCTGCCTTGGTGTTGTGTTTGTCCTGGGCCCTGTATCTGTCCTGCATCCTGTTTCTGTTCCTTTGCTGACTTCTCCTGCTCTGATCCTGGCTTGTGACCCTGACCATCCCTCTGTCTGACCCTCTGTACTACGCTGCTTGCTACCTGTTCTGATCCCTGGCTTGTGACCCGGACCATCCCTCTGCCTGACCCTCTGTACTATGCTGCTTGCTACCTGCTGAACCTGGCCTGTGACCCCGACCATTCTCTGCTTGCTCCCCCTGTACCTACCTGCCCAATTGATATTGACCTGGCCTGCCTGACGACGCTTGCTTGTATGTACTGTTATCTGTGGGTGGTTGGTTGGTTTGTTTGCACTGTATTATGTTTTAGTATTGCACTGCGTTTATGTTTGTACTGTTAGTGTTAATAAATTATATTGTTTATAACATATCTGAGGTCTGCGTTTCCCTGCTTCAGTCACACACCTCTGGTCATACCTGGGAGCCCTGACAGGGGCACAAGCCTGAAACCCGGAAACAGGCAGCAATGTAGGAGTATGTCACTTTGCCTGTGCAGGCTGCCTATCCGCAGTACATTACAGGATGGGTGGTCCACAAGTGGTTAAAGTGCTTTTTAGTTTGGGAATGTAGATTTTGTTGATTTATGTCTATGGGTGGTGCTGAACATGTGTTTTTAGTACAGGTTCAGAACCTCCATGGTTTTTCTTTATTACAAAATTGCCTTGCTATGGGGATACCAGTCTGCTTGCCTGGTGTACTGGTTAGTTTGGGGAGTAGGAAGTACAACATTTGAACAACAAATTGAAAAAAAAAACACATTTCAGCATCATAGACAGTAACTGCAGCAGAAGAGTGAAAAGATTCTATTACAAAATTCCCACAAAGATTTCACCAGAACAATTAAAATTTGTTCTCCCCAAACCAACAGAATTGGGTTCCACAATCTCATGTGTGGTGGTACAATTTGACTCCAGGAATTTTTCACAGCATAATACTGACAAAATACTACTGTCATCAGTAACTATATTATCTAGGTTTTTCTTCAGCATTTTCTACTGTCTTTGTTCAGAATGTGTGTATTGTGTGATGCAATATTGTAACATTAAATTATTGTATAATCATATCAAATATGTAGTATATGTGTTGCAAATACCGTGTAAATCGCAAAGGTTATTTAATATTGTTTAGAAATAATAGTGTTACCAGTAACAACTGGCGTATCTAGTAAAATGATTTCACCATGTTTTAGATTTGGAATGCTTGTAATGGTACACACTCACTGATCACCACAACCACATGGCCATGCTGATCAATGAAAAGCACTTCTTTCTCCTGTGTGACCTTACCAGGAGATATGTGGCCAAGATATCTGAAGATAGTTCACCTTTAAATTTTTTTTTTAATGGTGAATTTACCCTTTAACATGAGGCCATAGTTCTACTTGAATAAGTGCAAAAGCACACCAAGCCTAAAACAATTTGCATTTTTGTAATGGATCTCTGGACATCTCGGCTTTGCAATGTTCTGCACTGCAATATACCCTCTACAAGCAGTACTATATCTTTGATTCCTGTAAAGTGTTGCAGTAGGAAAGTAGATCTCAATAAATCCGCCAATGCCTAAAATGTAGTAACTACAATTAAAGATAGGTGCCGCGCCCTATGGTTAAGTGGATATCTATTTGACTAGACCAATGATAATGTATTACATACTATACCTTATATCAATATATAGTCAATAAAGTTGTAAGAATCTTATACATACTATTAATGCTATAGGATATCAATTCAGCTGCATGCAAAAAAAAAAAAAAAAAAAAAAAATATATATATATATATATATATATATATATACAAAAAATATATATATATAAAAGTGAATATAAATTATGAAATCATTATAATAAAAAATCATAATAATTAATGAAATAAGTGTCCAAAAAAATGAAAATAGTGTCCCAAAAATTTTTTTTGTATATAATATAAAAAAGTTCAAAGTATTAATTGCTTGCTGTTAAAAAAGCTGTATTTTGATATTTGCTTGGATAATATCTCTTTTATGCGCTCACCTTCCTAGGAGCCTATTACTAGGCTAATGTGGCTTTCTGGAAGGAAATGGGATGTAATCCTCTGGGATGAGCTGACAGCTCTCCTAAGCACTCCTGGATTCACTGCTGCTAGTGACCTTGTACAGGAATGTTGGTCTCTCCTTCCTCACACTGCTTGGTCCATCTCCCCATTTCTCCTTCCCAGCATGGCTCCCGTTAAAGCTGGACTCTGGGGGGCGGGGCTCACCAGGCACAGGCTCTGCACTGTAGATGTATAAGATTCTTACAACTTTATTGACTATATATTGATATAAGCTATAGTATGTAATACATCATTGGTCTAGTCAAATTATACCATCATATACAGCCATTATATCAAATAGATATATCCACTTAACCATAGGGTGCGGCGCCTATCTTTAATTGTAGTTACCAAATCACACATGCATATGAGGATGTGAATGGGAGCCTGCGAACACTTCTAAAATTTTAACTAACATTCCTGTGGCTCACAAGTAATTTCATAGCATTTTTTTGCCTAAAATGTAGTGTTTCTGTAGATTGTTACAGATTAATAAATAGCTCAAAAAATGTTGAAGCCCATTTTCTGCAAAATCATAATTTCTTCTAGGTCAATGTATTTGTCCCTCCATCTTTGAGATTAATTCTTTTTATCTGATTAGTCCATGTGTAACAATGAATGTCCTTAATCTCACAACGTCTCCAGACTAAAGGCAAAGTTCACAATGGGGCAGAATGTTATCACTTTTTTTTAGCTAATTGTTATGTACTTTTCAACTGGATATACTTTGTAAATGTTGAAGATGTTTCAGAACTCACCTACAGTAAGTAGATTCACCTTCACCCAGGGGCGGACTGACAACTTATGGGGCCCCTGGGCAATGGGGGATCATGGGGCCCCTGTGTCCTCACCCATACTCAAACCACACCCAAAAAAGCCTATGAAAGGTACTAGGGCCATCTCATGGGGCCCCATACTGACCCTGGGCCCTTGGGCAGTGCCCGAGTGCCCGGATGGTCAGTCCGCCCCTGCCTCCATCTGTGTAGCACAGAGCAGATATGGGGATTCAGAGTACTTCACTGGGCTCAGTGCTACACAGTTCTGACAGGCAGGGGTGGGAACAGAAGCTGCCTCCCGAAGCGCCATAAAAAAATATGTGGGCAGGTGTGGCGTTGGGATCCGGGACACGCATTAACATGTGTACTGTCCTGCACAAAACCTGGGTGCCCTGTGAAAGCACACAGAAGCAAGCAGAGGAAGCAAGTTGTGTAAAAACTTCCTCTACTGCCTTCTGTGGTTATAGGGCTGCCAGAGGTGGCAGAACCGATTTCCACCACATTCTGGCCTGGAAAAACATATGTGGACAAGACAGTATACATACAAAGGTATGTTCAAAAAATCCATAGAAGGGGGAGTGGCATGCCTATAGAGTGAAAGGAGTACATCTGACACAGACAAAAGGCTTTTAAAGTGTTTTACTGCTTGTTAAGATGATGTAGATAGTTGACTGTCCATGACTTGACCACAGTTCTATTTTAAGGTGGAGGAAGACTGCAATGTTTCTCCTTTACCATAACCTGGATCAATTAGAACCTTTGAAGAGTTGTATTTCTTTCTTAATAGTCCCATCATGTTCTGTACAAAATAACAGGGTTGCTATCACCTGTCTACATGGATTTGGTGTGCTTCCCACAACCTTTTTGTTCTGGGACTGATATGAATAGATCTTTAAACTCTGTGTTTAAAGACTTGCTGCTGCTTTGATATATCTCTGCAATGATG